CGCCGCAGCGCAATCAATTTAATAGGACACCGCTGTCACAAACGAACCCTCGTGCTACTGCAATTTATACCAACAGGTATAGCCCTGTCTGCGACGATTATACTATGGAGTAAGAAAAGAACTTAGTTGTACTTTGCATAGAATACCTATAGTTATAAGTCAAAATTTGGAAGGCTGCAAGAAAACTGCAAGAATGTACATAGTTTGACCGCTCTTCCCCGCAACGGACGGCGATATTCCTAGGTTAGTAATAATGTATATATACATCCATATAAACTCAGTATATATGTATGTAGGTACATACAGATACATATCGTCAATGTTTTTGCAAAACCGCCTATCGACCAGTTTTAAAACCGCCTAAATCGGTGTTGCGGCAAAAATGAGATTTGGTAACCCTGAACTCCAGGCATCGAGATTTATGCATAAAAACCGTTAAATCGTTATTAAAATAACAGATTTGTAAAATAAAAGCTAGAGAAAATACCGCCTATGAAGGCAATGTCTTCAAAGAATAAACCGTTTTTTCGCCCTCCTGTAAAATTTGAGTGCCGTAAGATAGGCGGTTTGGCAATTGGGCGATGGGCGGTTTTGCAAAAACATCGACAATTTGTACATATGTATGTAAGTATATATGTGATTGTATGTTAATAATTTAAGATGAGATTTCGTTTAAATAGAAAATACAGTAAAACACATTAGCTATTGCATATGTCTACTTCTGGGGAAATTACGTAAACGAAACCTAAAAAGAATTTAAAATTGATATAAACGGAATTTGCACCTGGCATCTTACGTTACTAGTGCATCTATATTACCCCGGGAGTGAGCTATAAGTACATATGTACATCAGACAAAGTAGTAATTTTGCAAAGGTAAAGATATTTGGTGCTCACATGTGTGTATCCTGAAGTTGTCACACATGTAGGGCCTCTTCAACTTAACGCCGCCACTAAACTGTATAAGATTTTTTGTGAGAAATTTTTTGTAACATACGACTGGCGTGCTTTGTTGAGCTCAACCAAAATCGCTTGGGCGGTCACAGCGCGAATTAGGAAGAAGAAGAAGAATAGAAGTAATTTCAGCTGAATAGTGCTTTGGGTTGAAATCTCTTCTACACAGTTTTTACCTTAGTTTTGTAATCTCACATAAACAACATCTTTCTAAATCCGAGATAGAACGTATTTTGACTTTCAGTGTTATGGACTAGAGCTGTCAAACTATCGACGATACTATCGATAGTATCGATAGTCTGGTCACTTGAAATAACTATCGATAGTTTTAGTACTATCGCCACTATCGTTTCATTGATAGCGTATTCTCTTTCCTAGCGCTTTTGACATTTGCACGTATTGGTTCAAAGAGAACAAAAATGGGCAGCATTATTTCATGAACGAACGATTAAAATAAAGATCACCCAGGACGTTGTGCGAGAGAAAAGTATGTTTTTCGCAGTGACGTCATTTTTTCGCCACGGAATGAAACCATGTGTGTGAGAGAAACAACCGATTAAAAATGAAGTTATCAACTATTATTTTTTTCTCAAATGCAATTTTAAATACGCGGTTGCCGCGCTGGGTGATCAGTTTAGTTGGTTCATGGCATTAGTTGCGTTCCTTATCTCCCAGAAATAGCCAGAAAAAGTCCGAAGTAGTCAGATTTAGTCCAAAAAGCAATTTTTAGCAAAAAGAAACCGACTTCAACTCCCATATAAAAAAAATATATATATATATATCTCATGATCCACGCATCGGATCTCAACCAGATTAGTATGGGTCTGAGACACTACCTTTCCGATGCAAAAAGAATTATCGAAATCGGTTGACGTGGTCGAAAGTTATGCGGTAACATACATAAAAAAAAAAAAAAAAAAAAATATATTCCGACGAACTGATAACCTCCTCCTTTTTTGGAAGTCGGTTAAAAAGTAAAAAAATGAATTGAAATTGGAAGGAAGCAAAAAAATAATTGATATAGTAAGTGTTTATTGTGCTTGTGCTTGAGTGAATGTGTTTTGTACATACATTTCTATCCTTGTTTGACTTTAGTTTTGTTGTTGCCATTCTTTGGACTAATAATTTGGATTTTGCGTTCCTTTACTTTTTCCTGTTATTCTCTTTTAGTGAGCGCGTTTTGCTTACGCTCTGACATTTTGACACTTTTCAGATTTTAGTCAAAAAAGATAAGGAATGAACGTATTATTTCTAAAAGCGCAATTTTTATTTTAAGCCTGGGAATAGCAGAGGTTACATTGACGTCTTAAGAGCGTGTCAGACCGGGCAATGCAGTATATTTCAAAAGACTGTCAGATTGAGAAATTTCAGAAAGCATTTGCATGAGCAGTGGCACCTTGCATGTATGTATGTAAAGTGTCTTTCGCTTTTTGACTGTTTACACGGCGAATGAATTTCTAGCAATATTTCTCAATACTAAAATGCAACCGTGAGCCGCTAAAATAAACAAATTTATAAAAACAAGATAACGAAAAATAAATGGATTTAGAAAAACATATGAAATGGGTCGATACTATCGATAGTATCGATAGTCACCTTAGGACTATCGTAAAACATCGATGGACTTGACTATCGATAGTTTGACAGCTCTATTATGGACAGTAACAGCCGTTTTTACAAAGCTGGAATAACTCATCGACTGCCGAATATAAGTTAACTCTCTTTTGCGAAAGTTGTTCGCAAGTGCCGTTTTCTCAAGGAGGTTTTAAGATTTATCTAGTCTTCAAACACTTTTTCAGAACAAATTTTCTATTTAACGGGCAGATAACTTTTAAAACCTACCTGAGAAAACGGCCCTAAGTGTGCTAGCACCACAGGACTGGCATAATGGAAACATGGTATTATTATCATTCAAAAAACCAATTCAACCATTTGCATGTTTTAATAAGGCTGATGGTAATAAAGTATGAGATTCTTTAAAACAAATGACGTAAAAATTAATTCTAAATAAATAAAAATTAAAAAATAATTTTAATTACATTACATTAAGTTGGATAAAAAAGTCTACTTGTAAGCGCAGCATTTTTCCTTGCCGTGGAAGTAAACGCGTACCAACTTAGATCTAAATTTCTTAACTTAGAAGTAGCACATAAAACTAACCTAAAAAAAGTATTTAGCTACTGATTTTATATGTAAAAAATCAAAAACCATAAAAGTAACAATAGCGTTATTCTCTTAAACTGGAAAAAAGGAAATCCTCGAATGTTTCGAAACATTTTTTGACTATAACATTTTTACAAAATACATATCGCTAGCTTAGAGTGAAGATTTGTTAATTCCAGTTTTTCCAATTATATAGGAGAGAAGTTGTTCTTCAAAAACTTCATAACAACATTTTTGCGTATTCGAAGTAATAATACACAACTTAATGCCAATCGGTAGAGTTCGCAGTTAATGAAGATCTCTTGCATTCTTTTGAATATTTCGGATTTTCTGGAATTTTTTTGGACTTAAGAAATTGGAGTTTCAATGCATAGAAATGTGCAAAAATAAAGGAAAGTAATTTGCAAATCGCTTCCTGCGTCAAATGTAAGTTTTCATAGAAAGTGGACTTATCAGCTTTACACTCTAAGCTAACATTTAGATATATTTTCGACAGTTCGTAGGTAACTAGTATGTATGTAAGTGTAAATATAGATTAGTTAAACTTTAATTTAGATACTGTATGCGTATTCATACACTAATATTTGTAATATTTCAATATTTACACATAAATAAATGGTAATCATACTTATGTATGTACATGTTTATTTTTACTTAAATGTATATTTCTACATACATACCTGTATGTATCATACATACATACATATGTACATATGTATGTACGTACGTTTAGAAATTGATTAAATTAAATTTTAATTTTAATTTGATTGATCGCTTGTAATTTTGGCGCTTAATAAATTTTCAATGGCTCCTAAATGTAACTTACACTGCTAAGGTGAAGAGCGTGGCAGACGTGGCAATTTCGTGGCAATTCAATGTATTTCTCAAATTGAGAAATTTCAGAAAGCAGCTGCATGATCAGTTACGCCTCGCATGTAATTCAAACATATATTTCGAGTTTTCTCTGTATACAAATTTACTGACTATTCAGGTATTCACTCAAAATTGAAGTGATCTTTATATAATATTCGCAATGTATTTCATTCGAATTTTTTTCCGCAATTTTTTTTTTTAAGTAGAGCTCATTATCTAAACATTATAAATAGTAAATTCCAAACTTTTTGCAAAGATTATGGGCCGCTTGTCAATGTCTGGTTATCACTACCACTACACTATCGACGATTTCGACATCATGCATGTAACATGTGATCGATAAATCAGTCGTTGTTCTTAACCGCAGATTTTACCTCCATAAAAAAAAAATCAACAAAGTTTGATTAGAATTGGAAATTTCAGTTAAAATTTCTAGAAATTATCTGCGAACAAAAATACGCATGTAAAGCTATATCATTTAATTTATCTCTTCTTTTTAAACATAAAAAGCATCTGTGCGATATTTCTACAATTTAATTTATTATAAAATTCATGAAATTAAATGTAAACTCAAAATTCACTGTAATTTTCCACTTTCCGCCACTGCGATTTATTTTGAATACAAAACTGCTTGGATAAGCTGGAAATATTGCCACGTCAAATACGCTCTTGATAGTTCTTGGCTATAAATAAATCTGGGTCATTCGGTTAACATAGTACCGGCCAAAATTTATTTAATAAAGTGTGATTGAATTTGACATTTCTCTCATAAAAAATTTTATATTTTTTGACATTATAGTTCCTTAAAAGAGAGCCGCACTGATGGGTCAATCGCACTTAATTTAACACACCTTGGTACCGACCGTCGTGAATGAACTATTCTCTCATTTCTTAATTTGTTTTGCTTAGGATTTTCTAAAATACTGCGATTTATTTCCAACCATGTGCTGACATTTAGCAATATTCCTCAGAATGTTATGGGAATACCCGCATTGTATATTAAAACACATCCACTTTTTATTGATTATTTTTATTTTTTCTTATTTCAAGTCGCAACTCCATTGCCAACCGTCAAATTACCGTTGCTTAATATGTTTGACAAGTTTTTTTTTTTCATACTTAAATATTTCTTCAATTATATTTACTGTATTTTAGCTGGTATTTGTACACAAATGATGTCTTCATTGTTTTGGTCCTGTAATTCCCATTTGACTAGTACATGGACCTGCAAAGAAATTACAAAAATTAATGATGAAAACAAATAAATATACTTTAAGACAAATTTTTCTTTTTAAAGTTAGTTACATTATTTTAAATACATATCAACCGACGAAATTTTGAAACAAATAAAAACCTTGAGAGGCGGTATTTTCTCTAAAAAATCTCTAAATCTCGATGCCTGGAGTTCAGGGTTACCAAATCTAATTTTTGCCACAACGGCGATTCAGGCGGTTTTGCAACTGGTCGATTTTCGGTTTTGCAAAAACATCAACGATATGTATGTTTGTTAGGGGCAAATCAATTTTTGACCAACTTCCCGATGACCTAGAGACTTGAAATTTCACAGTTAGGTCAGAACCCGATGACAATGCAATACGAAGGAAAAGTTAAGCCGAAGGTGGCGCAGGGGTCGAGATATTTGAAAAACCCGTATTTATAGTTGTATTTCGTTCATTTTTAGAAAGCTTGCTTTAAAAATATTTGTTTTTACAATAAACTTATTTTCTGTCGCGAAATATATGTTTGTATTTGAAAACTATGAATAATACCTCTGCAATACAATTGGTTAACAATTCGAAAATGATTGGAAAACTAACATTTTTTTTTCAAGTCTCACCTTCGATAACGAATGTGGAATAGGTTAGTATTCGATTCGAGAACTAGGTCATTCCCCAGCAAAACGGAACCTTCGTTATCCAATAAATTTTTCCTTCATTATGAATTCGAAATCCAGCCCATTAGCGAAGTGAAATTTTAATGAGAGAGAGTGATTGCATTATATTTCCATTCGATTTCACTTCCTCTCTTGTTACTACGGTTTTAATTTTTTTCCAACCCATCTCGAATGTATTTCCACAAAAAAAGTTTGTCCAATATATTAGAAGCTGAATTATATATTTAGATACGCTGGGAATGAGTCAAGAGAATCTTTCAGTGCTTATATCTTTTCACAAAGTTCACCGACTTGAAATCCGACAATTTTTGGCTAACCTCTCTGCAGTTTGCACCTTAATTTCGTATATAAATCAGTTCTGTAGCTGCTTCAGATCGCCCCAAAGGCCGAATCACACGATTGGAGCATTTGTACAGATTTGTACATTTTGGCAGCCACAGAGTGGTGTTGTCTAGAAATTTTTATCAAGGTTGAGTTCAGCTTAATACAAAATTTTCAAACAACCCCACTCTGTAATTGTCAAAATGTACAAATCTGTACAAATGCGCCATTCGTGTTATTTCGGCTTAAGTCGTATAACAGAGCAATTATAGAATGTCGTCGCTTGGTGCGCAATACCTCGTATCGGCCAAATACAATACCACGTCTGAGGTGGCACAGAAAAAATATTATTTTGCTTACCCTACCTGAATGCTAGCTTACTTCAAAAATTTATTGGTGAATAATTACATGTATAGTAGAAGCTCATTAATAAGCTCAGTTAGAAAACCATTCAAAAGTTTTGAAGAAAATATTTTTGCTTGCTCTTTTGTGAAATTTTTAGACTTCTTATACGTGCTATTGAATTCGGCGGACACGAGGTATTGCGCGCCAAGCGACGATATAGTTTATAAATTAGATATTGTATTTCATCTTATTTAATTCTTTTAGTTTTATTTGTTTTAATCAATGTTTATTTTACTTTATTTTATTTTCTTTAGTCAATTTTATTTTATTTGTATTGTATTTTATTTTATTATTTTGTATGCAATAATATTTAACCGAATCTATTCACAACTCACCTTTGGATAAGCCTTTAGCACCGGCAAAATAGCTTTATATTCGTAGGTTTCACCCTTCTCCAGCGGGCACTTGAGTCCACTATCAACGCAGGCATCGGGATTCTGTAAATGGAAGGGCATCTCTACGCCCAATACTTTGCCATGCACTACAGTTGTAATTTTAGAGGCTTCCTCATCTGAAAACAAATTAAAGAAAGAATACAATTAAACAAATTGAAAACGTGAACGTTATGCAAAACTATAATAAACAAGTAATTAAAAAATAAATTTTTAAGACAAGCTTTTGTTAGTGGCTAAATTTTTTGTGGAGTTATTTCTTTCCATTTAAGTAATATAATTTCTATATACGAAACAAATCGGACCATAAATAGGGGTTTTTTTTAAATATCTCCACTCCTGCGCCACCTATCGAGTCATTCCTATTTCATGTAAGTAGATAGAACCTTCCACTTAGGCTTGAAGTTTCGACTACAATCCCTAAAAATACCATCCCTGCACCTTGACCCTAAGGGCGCTTGTAGTCATTTATTGAATAGGAAAAACTGATTTTGACACAATTTTTATTTTATTTTTTCAATAGCGAAATTTTCCAGTATTTTTATTTTTTTTTGTTTAATATGGCGTTTAGAGCTTCTCAAATATTGCAAAAAAACGCGATTTTTTGACCAAGTTTTTACATGTGTTATCGTTGAAAATTGAATAACCTATTCGGGCTATCTTCAAAGGTATTTTGTAATCAGGTTTTAAAAGTCTATTGCAGTAGAGGTAGCTGTCTCTGGATGTATGTACGGTAAAGACAGGCCACTAATCAAGCAATTAGCCAAGCTTTCTCGATTAAGGCGCTAATTGAGCTCGATTTACCATCATACAAAATTTCAATTATTTATTGCTCGATTAGTGCTTAATTGAGTGCTAATTGAATGAATTTGTTCATGCAATCCTGCTTGGTATGTTTAATTTTGACTTTGAGGTAGGTTTATTGAACAAATAGCAATCAGCTGTTTGTTTCTGGTCCTCTTTTTACAGCTGATATTCTATCAGGGATGTAAAACTAAAAGTAGATAAATGTACCTTAAAAGTGTGTATTTTTATACGTACATATTAAAGAAAATAAGATGATACTCTTTCCTTTCGATAACATATACGCTTATGGACTCACATTAAACAAATTTGGCTATCAAAAGAATCTTTTTGAGCAGTTCAACACAAAACTATATTTTCGTAAAGTTGAACCACTTTCCTTCGAGTTTTTCGATCTAACGTTTTTAAAAGAACTAGTAATCAACTACAGTTACGTTACTTTGACCACCTTTTTGTATCATTTGTATGCCCCTTCACAAAGGAGGGAGGCTATTGGACAAGTTACCCACACCAGAGAATTCATTTAAATGTGAATTCAAATAAGAGCTGATTTCCTGAAAAGTTATTTGACTACGTTCCAAATGTACCTAAAATGGTGTGTTTGTACCGAATGTACTTTCAAGCTAAATAAAGGTACGGTTGTACCAACTTTTCCATCACTGTAGCTAATCGAACAGCTGACTGTGTGTGAACACCAAAAAGCGGTAGCTCAATTAAAGGGTTAATTGACTCAATTAAATTTCTGTCTGAACTTAAATAAATCTGCGTCTTTAAATTTTTAATAGGACGGCAGGATTTCCCCCAAGGACATCGAAAAAATTAATTAATGGAAAAAGTACAGTGACTTTGTAAATACGTCCTTACAAGGCTGCAAAACGATGTGTTTTCTGGTAGAATAATTTGTGTATGTCCTGAAAATTTGCAATTGTATAACATATTTTAATTTTTCTGACAGGGCGTATGATGAAATTGGTAAATTTGTACATTTTTTATATTGGGCTATGGTACAAAATAAAAAAATTGGGACGACCATTTTTTTTTTGTAGTCACACGATTGCACTATGGCTGAAATAAGCACTTTCTGGGGCCAAAAGTCCAATTTTCAATGTTTGCTTTAAAAATTTTTAACGGGAAATTACAAATTAAATAAATTATAAATTTATGACCGCAAGGTAACCCTGCTCCCCTATCTGTTAACCAAAATTTTGTGGTTTTGGTTTTAAGTATTTTGTGCTAGAATTTTATTATAATATAAATAATTTCTTCATAATCCGATGCTCGGATTTGAACAAAATTAAAATGGAACCACCTGTGAGGTAACACCTTTCCTCTAAAAAATTTTAGAAATCGGTTAACGTGGTTCAAAGTTATGCGGTAACATATATAAAAAATAAATAAGTAAATATTCCGACGAATTGTGGTTACCTTTCCCCTTTTTGTGAAGTCGGTTAAAAAGAAATATAGAAAGCGACAAAATGGAATAATGCCGCATACGCGTTTTTTACGCAAGAGTGCGCAGTGCGGTGACTCCATGTTCATCGTACCGAACGACGAATATGTAAAAAAAAAAAACAGTGGGAGCTAGCTAGCCACATGTCTTTGCCACCCACAGCAAGTATTTGTAAGAATCATTTTAAAACCTCTGGCCCATTAGAACTTGAAGGGGGATCTCCCTATGTGGGGAATAAAAGAGTACCTTGACCAACTTTATAACTCGCTTAGGAGTCAAATATCTAGAAGTATTTTAAATAGGGTAGCGGAATTTCTTATAAAGGTTTAACAAATTTCCGAGCTAATGGAAAGGGGGAGTGGCAACTCCGATATGATCTAAAATTTTCATCATACATAACTCTGGAAGAATTTAACATAAATTGAATTATGTAGCGCTGGAAGTATTAAAACCCGAGCGTGGCACCTCCCGGTAATAGTGTACACGTTTACGCGGCGAATCTCTGAAGCCTTAAGCTTAGATCGATTGGCATCTTTCATATTATAAAACTATAGATTTTTCAATCTGCAAAAACGACTTTTTGAATTTGTTATTTTCTATTTTGAATTAATTTTGTAAAGATATAACGAATGCACAGAAGAATTCTATTCCACTAATATAAAATTTTTAAATTATTTTATATATATAATTATTTTTTTTTTAATTCCACAGTTAGTTAAAAATAATTACAAAAAAAATATTAATTGGTCTTTTTCCTGATTATTTATCGATGATTGCTGTTGTAATAAAATTCCTTTTTGACTTACTTAGCGCAAAATTAATTGTGATCGAAGCTGTTGTATTGCGTTTGAGTACGCATTCATTCTTTGTTGTGTCACAGTCTGATATGACAACTTTGTTGAAACTGCCAGTTTTAGAACCTGAAACGAAAGGAAATACAATTTTAGTAAATGAAAAAATAAAATTTCCCTTTTTTCACTCAAAAAGATTACAATGGAAGCAGATACATTATATATGTATGTACGTATCGATGTACATATGTACATACATCTATGAACATTTGAATAACTTAAGTATGCCAAGTGTGGCCATTTTTTCGATAAAAATTTTAAATCGTAGAGTACTTTTACAACACTCATCATACCTTTACAATTAGGGTATTCACAAGATGTCGCAAGCGTCGTCATGTCATAACGTCATAAAATTTTTCAATGTAAAATAACGGTTGAAAGGGTTTTAAGGGACTTAAAGTGTATAACAAGAGCTATATATATATTTTCTATCGGTTTAACAACATTTTGGTTTGATTAAAAATCCTCTCAAAGCATTTTATAGCAAAATATGTATAACTTTATGGCATGACGACGCTTACGACATTTTGTGACTACCCTCAATATTTAGGTGCGTTTTCTCAAGTAGCTTTTAAAATTTATTTGGCCTTTAAACACTTTTTTTGGGTACTTAATGTATTAATTAATGTTAACTGTAGTTTAAAATGACCTTTTAATAAAAGTTTAATGAACATATAAAATGTTTGGGAAAACGTCCTATATTTTTTTATCGGAAATCAAAACTTTTAATACTACCTATCTACATACTAAGTTGTTTTTTCAAAGATCTATAGACACATACATACATACATACATAGTTATGTACATCTGCACATACACATATAATTTGCTTTCACTGACTCTCCTACATACATATGTACATAAATATATGTATCTACACAGCCCAATTTAATTTAATTAAATTCATTTAAAACTCGTCACTTTGTAAATGAAATTTGTCGAATGAGTAACCAGAAAAGTGATAAAATATGTCGAGAATCGTACAATGTAAAAAACAAAAACAAAAATTAAAAAAAAAACTGCGAATATTATTACATTAAAGGCGGTCAACGCCGCTTGCCAGTAAAAGCTTTGTGGAGCTGGATAATCAAATAAATGCATTTATAAAGCGATCGCCGACATCCGCAAAAAAAGTGCTGT